GAGGATAAATTCTTCCTAAAACAGTGGGAGGGTACCACCTTTTGAGAATCTCACAAAGACACTTCTCAGAACTTCACCCTTTGTTATAATCCTGTATCTCTGGCAGTACACTCCAATGACTTTTGACTAGAAATACTAAAATAGATCAGGGCTGTTTCCTGGGTCTTCTACTATGCAAGAGGATGCCTCCTACTGTATGCCTGGGTCCTGTACATCCATGGCTCCAGAGATGATGTTTGCCTTCCCATGAACTGGAGTGATGTCTGAACTCTGGCCCATGTACTTCCCAGATTGCCAAACCTCAATGGTACTTCCCTTATACCATTGCCAGTAACTACAGAGCCACATTTTTCCAAGAGAAGAGGTCCAGGGCCGGAGATTTAGCTCAGTGGTTCTGCCGCCTGCCTCTCAAGTGCAAGGTCCCGAGTTCGATCTCCAGTACCAAAAAAAAAAAAAAAAAATTGAGAAAACAAGAGAAGAGGCCTGTGTATTTCAAACCTACTGGGCATTTCTCCCCTAACTGGAGTCACAGGGGTAAGATATAGCACACTACTTTTATCAGATCTTTTATAACCTTTAAACATTCTTAGCCAAAGTTAATGAGGAAATTACAGCAGGACTGTCCACTACACAGAACCAAACAAATTCCCTGGCTGCTATTGTCCTACAGAATCGCCAAGCCATAAATATACTCACAGCAGGGAGTGGAGGGTACATGTGCTATGAAAAAAAAAGTGTTGCTCTTGGGCAAACAAGATAGGACAGGACAAGTACAACAACATATCCAGACATTTCTGGAAGGCAAAAAAACAACCACACAAGCCACCAAGGGTAGACACATGGAATACCAGCTGGTGGTGATGTGTTGGCTACTTCCTTTTTTGGGACCACTTATATCTCTAATCAACCTTCTTTTAGTAGGTCCACTTGTATTTAACATGTTTGTGCTTTCTGTCTCTGCCAGGTTGCAGTCCATTAAATTACAGATGATGACTTAACATGGATCCCAATTTTTCCTACTCTGTACTCTGCCCAAAACTTTTACTCCTGGCCTGGCCCCAGTGACCACTGATGTGTCAGCAGACCCCTTGAGAAGGCCTCTCTCTGCCCATGTCCAGCCTGAATTAGTTACTGAAGAGGAAATCTCCATCCAAATGTCAAAGGCTTAACTTTGTTTATCTGTCAGGTGGGAAACGTGGAACCCAGTACAGTGATACCTCAGTTGTTGAACTCAATTCATTCCAAATTCATGCTTGAACACTGAAAAGTTTGAGAATTGAACATATTTTTCCCATGAGAAATAATGGAAAACTAGGGCCGGGGAGTTAGCTCAGTGGTTCCACCGCCTGCCTTGAAAGTGCAAGGTCCTGAGTTTAATCCCTGGTACCAAAAAAAAAAAAAAAAGAAAAAGAAAAAGAAAACAAAAAAGAGAAATCATGGAAAACCAAATAATGGTTCTGAGGCCTCAAAATTACACTTATAAATTCATTTTTCCAGGACTTTAGCAAATATTCCAATGATTTCTTTCTTTAATGCTACTGTGGCCCTCACAGTTTTCCTCTTAGCTTTACTGCTGGTATCACTAACTTTCTTTGGAGCCAGGGTTACGATATTTTATGCAAACAAAGCACACAAAAAAGCACAATGATGAATGTTTAACGCACTAACATAAGCAGTACTATATGTTGTTTGGGTGAGAGCGGCGCTTAGACTGAAATGTCATCCTTTTGTGTCTGTGGCGACTCACTCTTGGCCCATACAGGTCTTTTCAAATCGGAGTTTTGGTTTGACTAGAGAACAAAGTTATGAACTCTGAGCAGATTTTATTTTTTGAACTTTGCTGTTCCAGTAGGGGCAAGTTTGAGCTTGGAGCTATTCAACAACCGGGGTATCACTGTTTAGGTTGCAGTACAGCCATTTGGATCAGGCAGCCATCTTAAAACAAACCATGAATCACCAGGACTCACTCCTACCAACAATTTGCACAAAGAACAGACTTAAGGGGCCGGAGATTTATAGTGGTTTCGCTGCCTGCTGCGCAAGCGCAAGGACCCGTGTTCAATCCCGGGTACTGAAAAAAAAAAAAAAAAAAGACTTAAGGAGGTTCATACAGTGATCTCATGATCAGAATAATTCACCTCTTGGGGCTTATCTGTACCTCTTTTGAAGTTGTGCTTACACAAAGTGAGCCATTTCCTCCTGCCAGGCCCAACTTTTCCCTTTCAAAACAATACCACCCTTGCTTCTGAGCACACACAATACTTCTGTATCTTGCTTTTTGCCATAAAAACTACTTGTTAGATCTTCTCTGACTCTGCCATTGTCTTGGTAAATTCTTTTACTACCTGCTTTACCAGCCTTTGTAATGCTGTTTTCACAGGGCCAAAGAGACTGTTATTCCCATTACCCAGATGAAGGCTCTAGGGGCTGGAAAGACACCCTGGGCTGCACAGTCACTTAGTGGCTGAGCTGGGATGAAAGTCCAGGTCTTGCGCCTTGTTCTTATTTTTTTCCCACTATTAATACACCAAAACATGAATGTTGCTGGGAGGACTTTGGTCAGTATGTTAATGAGTGTGGTCCACTGCCTCCACAAGTAGCAGGAAGTTCATTCCACAGAGAAGTTACTAAAGCATCTACTCTGTGTCAGGAGACCAACTCTGAATCCCTAGGTTCAAAAACAATCATTAACTGCAGGATCATTTCTTACAAATGCAACCAAGTCAGTTTCTCACTCTTCTTTTTTTTTTGGACCGGGGATCAAACTTGAGACCTTGTGCTTGCGCAGCAGGCGGCAAAAACCACTGAGCTAAATCCCCGGCCCAACTCACTCTTCTTTTTGATGGGATTTTGTTCTCCTCTTTTCCACTGCTGTTTGAGCAGCTCTTCTATCCCCTACTTTCCTGGATGGATGGCCTTTGTCATTTTTTGATTATCTCAGTGCTCTTCATTATTTGCTATCTAATTTCCTTGGAAGGAGGTCATGGACCTAGAGAAGTGTTTTAATTTTTATTATTTTCATAAAATACCTTTGGCTGGGAGGCCAGGGATTTAGCTCAATGATGCTGCCGCTTGCCTCTCAAGCGCAAGGTCCTGAGTTTGATCCCCGGTACAACAAAACAAAACAAAACAATTTGGGCTGGGCCTCAGACCTCTGAACTCAGAAACCCAAGCAGCCAGCTATTCTAGAAGGTCTACCAGTTGCTTTCTTTGGGGTTCTGCTTCACTCCACATTCTCTAGCCCCCTAAAGGGCCTAACAGGGCCCTTGGGGAGCTCTAGCCCTATCCAGGAGTAAGGCAGAGCCTCTGTCTCCTGTGCCTGTGACTTGGTTCCAGAACCCAATTTGCTCCCCACCTCACCCAGACTGCACAGATGCTTTCAGATTACAGTGTACCTCAGTTTCCCTCAGTGGGGCAGGTCTAGGCTAGTCGAAACCTCTCCAGGTGGAATCATCTCTGCCCCTCTCTGGGATTTAGCTTGTAGGTTGTCTTCACCAGCCCAGGGCAAACAAGCCTTGGAAAGGGGGTGGGGGGCTCTCTTTTGTTTCCAGAATGGAGTCCAGATTTTCTAGCCTAGCATTCCTGTTCCTAGGAATACCTGCACAAGTCCTAATAATCAGTGTTCCCCGATAGGCTTCTGATGTTTACACCTGCACAGCAGTCTGGCTTTGGTCCCCAGAACCATTCCCTCTGTCCCATTTTGCCCACTCCAGCCAGAGTAAGCTGAATGCAGCAAGTTAGAGCCAGTCACTCTCCCTTAAAACCTTTGAATGATGCCCCCACCCCTACGTTTTCAAGAGAGTCCATTCACCATCTGACATTCCAAATTTCTCCCCATCTGGTCCTGCAAGCTTAGCTCTTGCAGGCTGCCTGCTCCAAGCAGCCTGCCTGCTCCAAGCAGCCTGGAGATCTGAAGTTCTCTGGACCTATACATGGCTTCTGGGCACCTACACACTTTTCCTTCTCCTACTGACACTCACTTGCTCAGCTAACTCCTACTCATCCTTTGTTTTTTTAAAAAAATTCTTTTATTGGTACATTTTAGATATACAATATGTTTACATTTATCATTGGGTGCTTGTACCTGTACATGATGTATCTTGGTTATTTTTTTCCCCATTACCTGTGTGCCCTCTACTCATCCTCTGAAACTTGCTCTTCAGGAATGGCTCCCAGGCCACCCCCTCTTAAATTTACTATATTGGTAACCTAATAATGTGATTGCTCTGCCCCCTAGATTCTGAGCCCCCCGAGGAGCAGTATCACATAGGGTTTAAGACCCCTACCACCTTGTTCAAATCCCAGTTCTGACACTTCCCTCCTGGAGGATAGTGGGCAAGTCACTTAACCTACCCATTGTTCAGTTTCTTCATTTTTATTTTTTTTAATTAAACTTTTTTGGCACCAGGAATCAAACTGAGGACCTTGCACTTGCCAGGCAGGTGCTGTACCTCTGAGCTACATCCCCAGCCCCAGTTTCTTCTTTAAAATGGGGATAGCCTGGTGTGGTGGTGCACACCTACAGGAGGCTGAGGCAGGAGGATTGTTGTCAGTTCGAGGCCAGCCTGGGCTACATATGAGTTCGGGCCAGCCTGAACTACATAGTCAGACCCTGTCTCAAAACACAATGAAACAAAAAAAAGAGGGAATAACAGGAGTGCATAGCTGTTCAAGGGTTGTCATGAGATTGAGTTACTACAGCCTATATGTAAAGTGCATCATACCTGGCATGTAGTACTACATAAATGTTAGCTATAAATAGTACATCTTTTACCTTTGTGTCTTTGGTACTCAGCCTGCCACATAGTAGGCTCTCATGAACTGTCCTTTCAATAAATGAATGGAATGTAATCTCTTCTTTCACCATAGCCCCAGGGCCTATACTGTATTTCAGACAATTTAGGTACAAACATGGGCTCCAGAGGGGTTTAGTGGTTCTCTGTCCCATAACCACCTCATTTCTGTGCCCTCTGTGGAGACTCTGGGGCGTTTCCCCTCACCTGCCACATCCCCCTGGAGCCGCCGGGCCTGGGCTCTGTTGTTGTAGGCTGAAGCTCTCTCGGGAAGAAGGCAGATGGCTTGGCCAAACCTCTCCAGGGCTGAGCTGAGGTCCCCAGCCTCTGCTGCCATCACCCCCTGCAGCTCCAGGGCCTTGGACTGCTCCAGTTGTGCTTGGGGGAAAACTGCATCTGTGTCAGGGAAGAAGCCAAGTGGGGACATGTGTGTAGCTGAGAGCAAGAGATCCAGAGCAATCTAGACCTGACGGGTGTGAGTCCCAGCAGGGGTAAAGTTCACAAGCTTGGGGTAGGAGGGGCTGAGGTCACCAAGGCAGGGAGCTAGCACTGAAGCCAAAGGGACTGGAAAGGGCCCCTGAATGGCTCCCCAGGTCCCTGAGTATGAACCTCCAACTCCTTAAGGCATGGGCTAATAAATTGCCCCAATTTCACTAAATTGACCCAATTTCACATACTTCTTTTTTTTTCTTTTTTTTTGGCACCGGGGATCGAACTTGGGACCTTGCACTTGCGAGGCAGGCGCCAGAAGCACTGAGCTAAATCCCCGGCCCAATTTCACATACTTCTAAGTTGCAGAGCTGGGATGTGAACACTGACTTTTCTGGCTTTTTAGCCTATTCTCTTGCTCTACCACATTGCCTCCTACCTAAAGGTGATCATTGACATCCCAGGATGTAAAAATCACTCCAATGTGTAACTTCGCTTCTTAGCCTGAAGTTTTAGTAAATAAATCTAAGGCTTCACTGTCTAAAACAAGTACATAAGCACTTTTCCATTGGGGCCAATGGAACATGCACTTGTTCTGTGGAAGACTTAGCTTAGTACCTGGCTTGTGATACAAATGCTAACTCTGCTTGCTATATTGGAACCACTCAACTACTTCTGCCTTCCATTCTGTGGGTGTGACACTGTTTGGCAAGACTTGAGAGTTTAATACCACCCACCCAACTCAGTTAAGCTTGGATCACGGAGGGAAGTGTAAGTTCCAAGGGGTGAATGCGGATGGACTGAGACACAAGCCCTGGCTTAGTCCTCTGGGTAGAATCTCTTGCTAAATCCCTCTTCCTACACCAAAGATCATCCAACTTGATTCCAATCTCCATCATCAATCCAAGGGTGGTGGAACCAGGGACCCTGTCGTATCACCTCTCTGCAGTTAGCCTGTGTGAAGAGCTCCACTCCATGGTCAAATGCTCACCCTCATCTTCATTCTGCTCTGCTTCCTCTTCCAGGTCCACCCCAAGGACGTCTCCAAATGGGGTGCTGGGGTTGAAGATAGCTTGCAATACAGCCTGATCACTTGAGGTTCCCATGGTGTCCAACTCCCAAAGTCTCAAAAGGTGACTTGGGAAGAGGTTGGAAAAAGGGCTGGGGCAGAGCCTCTACAGGCAGTGGTTATAAAAGGAGGAGGTTCTGTTTGGGAACCACCTCCAGGAGTAAGTGACTCCCAATCCTTAGCTTTTGCACAAGTTCAACCCCATGGCCTGAGGTTAGTGACTCTGGTTTCGCAGATTATTTACAATGATTTGTTAACTGAAACCTGGCCCTCAACACAGAAAACACAAATCACGTTTCAGCCTTAAGGTGGAATGGAGCAAAGAACAGGTGCTGAAATGCTTTCAATTTATTCTGTGCAGTTTAGGAGAAAATCATTAGTGGCCTCTGCTCCACCTTGCCTGGACAAAAGCGGGGATATGTAGATGGTTCAGGGTCCTCTTGACCCTTTCCTCAGATCCCAAATCCACTAGGTCCTGAACATACACCACTGCTGAACAAAGGAGGAAAACCCAGTCAAGGGCGTCAGTGTAGGTGGGGCCTGTCCCTGGCTATGCAGAATGGTTTAGCAATTCCATCTTCAAAGAAAGCACTGTAGAGGGTACTTTGTAAACAGATCACAGGCTGCAGGTCCCCTCAAGTTCTCCATCCCTGCCAAGGCCAAAAAGGAAGCTCAACCATGTGCAGCAATAAACTTGACATGTTTATTAATTAAACTATCACTTAAATAAAAAAAAGTGCATAGAAAATAAACATGTTTAAAAACTCCTTTTTTTTTTTACAACTATGTACACTTTTTACTTTTACATTCAGTCTTTCGTAGAGAGCTTTCAGCATTATTATTTTTTGAACTATTAAAGTATTTTCCTTCATCCCTGTCACAGGGAGTTAACACTGATGGACTTTAGACACATTTTCCTTTTTTTTTTTTTTTTTCTCTTTTTCTCTAACCAGAAGCTTGGAAGAACACAAGGAAAAAAACCCCACAAAAATAAAAGATCCGTTATACATGATAAAGTTGTCAAGAAATGTCTTATTTCTAGAAAAGAAGCTTGTCATCTGTTGAGCTCTTGAAACAATTATTCAACTACCTGTATTTACTAGAGACTGTTAAAAGTTCAATAAAAGAAACACCACAAGTCTATTTTCTTGGTTGAAAGACAGAACTAGAGTACCTCGGAACAAGATACCAGAAAAGCACAGAACACAATTTTCCCCTAAATGCAGGTGGTAACCCCAACATTCATAACCAAAAATAGAGAAACAAGGAGTACAGGTACTGACTGGCAACATTCATGGCAGGAAAAAATCCAGGTGACATCATTTCTGCATTTTGCTCTGATCCTAGGAATGGCCTGTTTTGCAGTTTGGGCTTCTCCATTTGGGAATCAGAGGAACACGAGCCTGACATTTTCCTGCCAATTCTAGCAACTGTAACACAATCCTTATCTATAGTGTTAAGAGAATTAAAAGCCATGGACTGAACTAGGCTTTGTTACATGGTGCATTACTATATTAGTTCCTATATATATCATATTTATATTTGAAAACCAAAACAAAGTTTCAAATTTTCAGAGTGTGAGACTTGACTGGTATTCATGATTCAGCACAAAACCATCTGCTCAATAACCTTGTATTGCTTTAAAATGAAGGAAATGAAACAAAATTACAACCAGCCCTTTGCAATGACCCGCTTTTCCTTAAGAAAAACAAAAACAAAAACTTAATTTCTATGAAAAAGAATCCCAAATCAAATTCCTAAAAGTTAACAACTGACAAGGTTTTGACCTTTAGTATTTTCAGATATTTGATTGAACAAGTCAGTCCTTTAGAAAGATACATTCATTAAAAGTTTTTTTTTTGTTTTTGTGTATGTGTATTTTTTTAAACTTTTTTGTTTTTAAATCAAAGTTGCTGCATGGCACTCGCTGCATTGGCTGAGGGGTGGACAGAGGTAAGCAGGATGGTGGGCTGGGTTCTGGCAAAGGAGTCTGGCTGTGAACTTATAGTTGCCACGGCTTCCCCCTTAATTCCTGCTATTGGTCTAAAAGCAGAAGGGTTGTGCTGGATGTGGTGGGCAGCAATGGAGGAGCCAAGGGACCAGTTCCGGCCAAAGGGTCAGTGCCATGCAGCTATTCTGGTTACACAGTTGTCACTGGCCACCAGGAAATGCAGCCACAACAGGTTCTAGCAGCAAAGCGGTAAGTGAGCTGGCTTTCACTGAGAGCTGACCAAGTTTGCAGCTGTCTGTCACTCCTTAGGGATTTGGGATGCGGGATGCCCCTTGGGGGATTCTTGGGAATGACCCACCACAATTCCTCAATCTGCACTTTTGTGCAGAACATCTCTTGGTCACTTTCAAATCAAACTCAGACACGTTTTGGAGACAGCCATGCCATTTTTTTCCTTCCTTCCCCCTTGCAGGGAAACCTTAGTTTATCCCCCAAGTTGCTGGCAGGTTATGCTGATATTTTGGCAATGGACTCAAGGCTGAGCTGTAAGAGGGGTTTCTCATTCTGTGGCTGACAGTGAGGGGTGGAAAGGCAAGGCAAACCATCTGCAGCTGGCAGGAGAAGGAAAGGTGTGGGCTCCTCCCCTGTCCTCAGGGTGTGGGCTTATAGAATGAGGACGGGGCTCACAGTACAGCTAGGCCTAGCAGGGCAAGAACTAGGTCTGTTTAGCTGAGTTTCCCCCACCCTCTGACTGGCCTCTGGGTCTTTCTCAAGGTGAATTCAGGACCCATCAGTGCATTAATCATTTCAGTAACAAATGCAGCTTAAGTTTTCTTTTCTTTAAAAAAAGTAGGATTACAAGGATTTACAAAAAAACCTCACACAGTGCAATAATAAAGGAAACCAGACACTAGTGGACCCCTCGGGCCACTGCATCTTATTCATGGGCAAAAGGAGGAAGGGAGGTGAGGTCTGGGTAGAGTGCTTTTCCCCAGTCCCCTGCTGGCACTTCTCCATGATGACAAGGAAGTCTCTGTCATCCTGGCCACAGTGCTGGGCTCCCTGCATGACAGTGGAAACAGTGACAATGTTCTAGCAAAGCCACCAGACAAAGTTCTTAAGGTCACGGGAGATAAGGGAGCCCAGGATGGAAGGCACAGCAGAGCTGTGAGTCCTGGGCTGAGTCATATTGCTTTGCTAGACTTCCAGAAGAATGGGCTTCTTGTGGTGAGAAAAGGGTGCACTGCCCTCTACTTGGACGACACTACTCTGAAACCTTGTGGCAGGAGCAGAGGAAAATCTGCTTTATCGTGAGTGGTCAGACTGTGCTTCAGTTTCAACAGGTTGCCCTGAAAAAGGGCATGAGGGGATCAGTGGGTTCTTTGCAGGTATGAGGAGCTGATGGGCAGAGGAAAAGGAGGTGACCTCTGAGGCAGATAGTGATGGAAAAGGTCAAATTGCCATTCAGCTGCTGACTCTCTGAAGTAGGGAAGATGAAGGCAATGTAAGAGTGCTGTTTCTCTCTGGAGCTAGTGCCAGATGGAGAGGGACAGTGTGGGAAAGGAAGGAAAGAAACACAAGGTGTCAAGGACTTCCGCAGCCTTCTGGGGAGCTGCGACAGAGACAAAGGAGAGTGGCCTAATGGAGCCGGGTGACCTTCCTTCTCCATTATTGTCTAAGAGCAGAGCCAGGGAACATTTATGTCAACAGGGCACAAATAAGCTACACGAGAAACAACAAAATGTATGCCTTCCAGGGGGAAGTTGGGCAGGAAAAACCAGACTTTGTGTGTACAGCTGAATATTTTCTCTAACTTCATCCTATGAAAATAAAAAATTATTAAAAACCGATCTTCTCTTAAATTAGGATAATACCGCAGTTTAAAAAATAGCCTTGTCATAAGTGCTTCTCCCTATGAAGTGCTTCTCATAGAAAAATATACAAAATATATTTACATTTATAAAACCTTAAATAGTAAACTGTAAACAGAACAGAGTAAAATCCAATGACTTAATTTAACAGGTTAAATGACTTAATTTAACACTGTCTTGGGGGAAGGAAGAGAAGAAACATTTGATGCTGTTTTGACCACATCCTAAGGAGTAATCAGGGCAGTAGTGTCATTTAATTTACTTCATCCAAGGATTACATGTAGGTGGCAGAGATCCCTCAACACAAGGTGGTCTAGTCCCCGTTTTGGGCCTTAAAATTGATTAGTGTTCTGCCTTCAACTGGACACTGACCATTCAAAAAGAAAGTCTTCCTATGTTTTACCAAGGGAAAAAGAAAGTAACATGTCTTAGCAATGGGCCCCAGGGGTCGTCCCAGTTGTGATACTCTGGTTGTTGCATGATTTAATCTTTAGTCTCTTCTAAAAAATCATGTTACCTATATTTCTTACAAAACTTTCAGTGGAGCTTTAGGAAAACTTCTCCAAATTCTGTCTGGTTATGGCCAATGGCTCCTGTCCACTCCCCCACCTGGAGTGCTTACAGGGCAGGAATGTACTAGAGGCACGTCCTATGCCCATCAGGGCGTGTCCTTGAGCAGGGAGCCAGTCTCCCCCACCACCCAAAAGGAAGAATGGGAAAGCAGTGGGATGAAGAACAGGGGAAAGGGAGAAGGTGGAGTGAAGAGAAGGGATGGGAGAGGGAAGCCGCTCCTATTGTCAGGAAAGGTTACTTGACTGAGATAAGGCTCATGGACTACCACTCCCACTAAAAGCCCACAGGCTCAAGGTTTGGTAATTACTTGGCACAACCCCAAGACAGCCTTTTGACACCAGAGGTACTAGGAATCTTGTCTTCTGACAGGAAGTGAATGCTCCAAGGGGAGGATAATAGGGAAAACCACCATCTTGTTTGGTCAACAGATGGCCACAGGTGGAGCCTGGCTGTACATGACCAGGTATCCGACCAGCCCTGTATCTGGGGTCTTGCTTGACCCCTCATTTATAGTGCTTGGGAAAGGGCCAAGGTGAGGAGGACACTGCTCTCTGCAGAGATGCTCAGGCCCCATCTCTCACCATAACTAACCTTTATAGGCTCCTTCCAGGAAAATCTCCCAGGGACCACATTTCCCACTTGTTAACATCAAACAATCAGAGGGGCCCCATGAGACAGCCAGTCATGGATCTGTTCTTCAAGACCTCATCTCCTTCCAGGACTATGATCACATGTATGTGAATGTGAGA